AAGCTGCTCCTTTGTATTCAGGTCTGGCCTCAGAATGATAATGTAGCATTTGGGGATGAAGATGCAGCCCAAGAGACCAGCACTGGAGGCCAAGATGGAGAAGACCTGAACAGCCACCATGTATTTCCCCTTGGTGCTCAGATAGGTGGGCACAAAAGTCACCCAGACACTGCAGAAGACCAACATGCTGAAGGTTATCAGCTTGGCTTCATTGAAGGCCCCAGGGAGATTCCTGGCCAGGAATGCTACTGTGAAGCAGATGGCAGCCAAGAAGCCCATGTAGCTAAGGGTGATGTAGAACATGACAACAGAGCCTTCATTGCATTGCTGAATGATTACTTTAGTCTGGGAGCGGAAGTCAGAGTCAGGAAATGGGGGAGAAATTCTTAGCCAGATGGAGCAGATGAGAATTTGGACACTAGAACAAGAAAGGATGATGGAGTTGGCCAAGCTCTTCCCCAACCATCTCTTCACTCGGTTGCCTGGTTTTGTGGCTAAGAAAGCCAGCACCACTGTGATTGTCTTAGCCAAGAGAGAAGAAATGGCAACTGAGAAGATGATGCTGAAAACTGTTTGTCGGAGAAGGCAGGTGGCTTTCCGTGGTTGACCAATGAAGAGAAGGGGAGACAAGAAGCAAAGCAGGAGGGAGACCAGGAAGATATAAGAGAGATCTTGGTTGTTCGCTTTGACAATGGGAGTTTCTCGGTATTTAATGAAAATAATTAGGACAAGGCCTGTGGTTAGGAACAAGAGTAAGACAAAGGATATGAGGATGATACCCAGATGTTCTTCATAAGACAGGAAGATTATTCTTTTGGAGATACATTGGATCCAATTCTCATTTGGATATTTATCATCTGGACACTTAGTGCATTTCTCTGTATCTGAGAAAACCCAAAATTAGATTCTTTACATTGAGAAAGTAAAAGAAATATATTCATACAATTTTTAGGCCAACTATCTCCTTTGGATTCTGCATCGTTTATTATAAAAAAAATAACATAACAAAACAGAAAACAAATAAATCCTGAATGGCCTGAAAAACCCTTTCAAGTCCAAATGCCATTCACCAGGGGCTCAACATCACTCTATCTCAGGACATGTCCTACGTCCTGTGTCTAGGACAGTGATGGCTAAACGTTTTGTTGTTGAGTGCCAAAAAATATGAGTCCGAGCGCAATAGCACACACATGTACTGGTACCCATAATGCAAAGCATGTCACCACATGGGCCCTCATGTACAACCTCCCCCCACTCCCCCTCACACAAGCCACACTGCTTGCCCCCAAGCTGAGCTTTTTATTTCCTTTTGGGGGCTGTGGGAGGCTGTTTTTGCCCTCCCCAGGCTTCATGAAAGCCTCTGGAGCCCGGGGAAGGCAAAAAACAGGCCTATTGGAACTTTGGAAAAGATTCATTTCCAGCTTCCGGAGGCCCTCTAGGGGCCAAGGGAGGTCTTTTTTACCCTCCCCAGACTTCGTAGGTCTTCCTGAAGCCTGGGGAGGGTGAAAACAGGGTGCCGGCTTTCGTGGAGGCCCTTCAGAAGCCGGAAACGGACTGTTTCCAAACAGAGATGTTTTCTTTGGCACCAGTAATGGTTTCCCAATCTCTTCTTAGCCCCTATCTCTTCTTAGCCCTTCCTTCTAGTTTATTTTGCAATTTATCTCTTTAGATAAGAAATTGTGAAAATAAACAAGTAAACTGTTGAGCACCAATTTATCTTTTTATTTGCACTTTCATAAAAATGCTCTGAAGGAATCCATTTTTGGAAGCCCTGCCTCTGGTGTCACCCACCTTCCTGAGTAGAGATAGTCCCCTCTGGACAAGGAATGCAGTCATAGCAGCAAACTGGCTCTCCTTTTTGAGCCTTCTTGACAAATCCAGGATGACAATTTTCNAGTGCCTAGTTACCAAATTCCGATTGTTGCTTTTGAACTCCAGGTTTATGCATAAGAAGTTTTTTTTCATGGGATTTGTGAATCCAGGTAACTCCTTGGCCACTACCTGGAATGGGAGGTGGATTGGGCCTTGGATCACATCCCCCCATGTGATAATGCTTGATTGTAATTTTGGGTAGAAAATGAAAGACTTGAAGGAGTCCATTGAAGGAAAACATGAAGGGAGTCTGACCAAACTTGTTAGGATAATCCTTTCAAAGTTCATGGAGATATGGGCCATGAAACACCAGTATTTTCCCACCCTTGTTGTATCTGCTAATAGTAATGCAGTAGCTATATTTAGGGTGACCTGCTTCTTAGTGGTTAGGGAGATCCACTCAGAACACCTGCTGGGCCTCAGGGAGATTTATTCAGGCTATCTGGAGGATAACATTATTGAGATTTGTGCTGATCTGGACAGGGAAGGCCAAGATGTAAACCACTTCCTGAAAATCTTGCCAAATTCTCTGGCTCAGCTCCACCTGAGATCCTTCTGAAGACCTTCACACAATTGGCTGAGGCTGTGAGCCTGGCTATGCTTGGCTTTGTCTTTGCAAGTCCAGCCAGCTGTCCTCCAACTCGCTAAAATTGGGCCAATTTTTGCAGCTGGTTGTACTGCAGAGAGGTGACAAGAAACTCCTGATCCTGATAAGGAGAATCATGGGTTTCCAGTCCTCATGAAGGCAACTGGCTGGCAATGAAGCAAGGGTCCTAGAGAGCCAAGAGGGACAGGGAGGGCTATGGGAGGTCTGCAAGGTCAGGAAGGGCAGTCTGGAAGAGAGGAAGGCAGGTGGAGCCGCCAACATGACCAGCCTTGGGTGTGGTCAGAAACCTCTCTTTTGAGGGAGGGGCCTCCTCACATGCAGTTGAGCCACACTGACCTCAAAGTCATCATTGTCAACACAGAGCAAAAAAAATTCTTTGCTTGCTTCCTTCCTTTTCTCTACTCTTTGACTCTCTCCAGTCAAAGTAAGAAGCTTACAGATTTCGAACCAACCTAAAACAAAGAAGAAATTTGAGCAGAGAGTGAGACTAGAAGACCTCCTAGGTTCCTTGCAACTCTGTTATTCTGTTATTCTCCTTCAGGCATGCAGAATATTTAGCAAATTAAGTTGTTAAAGGGGATAGTGATTTGAGGGAAGAGGTAGAGAGTTTCATTTCAGTACCTAATTTTTTTTCTGGGGGTTGGAGTTGAAAGATGAACAAGTATTTTTTCTCTCAGCTTTCTCTGTTCTTTATTGAAGGAATTTGATTTGCGGGGAGGGAGATGTTCAAAGCAGGGTAGGGAAAGTTTTTAGAAAACTCATCCTGAACCTGCCTTGGCATGCAGTGTCTGGTTTCCCCAACCTAGCAAGAGCCAGGAGAGGTTTGCAGTCTCTGAACAGCCTGAGAATCAGAGTGGAAGGCTTCCAAAGCAGCCGCCATTTCTACAAGGAACTTTCAGAGTATGGAAAATGGTGGCCATTTCCAGGAGACATTGGGGCAAGATCGAAGGAGGGGAGGGCTCTAGCCAGAAGGGAAGGTGTCACCAAACCACATCTGTATAGATACAGGACCCCCAACACTTGTGGGGGGGGGCGTTGTAAAGATGTCAAAGGGAGGCTTTCACCCCCTGAAGACAGAGCTCACATTTGGGGAAGGAAATGGCAAAGGAGGCTCTTGTGGTGGTGGGTGACCCCTGCAAGCAGAAAATATGGCTGCATTTGTATTCAGATCTTATTTTTCCTGGTGTAATACACTTTGATGTGAAGAGAGACTGACAGCCCTGATCTTTAGTGAGGAGGGAATTCAAAGTTTGAAATCATCCAGTGACACTTTTTGCCTAAGGAGATCCTCTCCAGGGCAGCCATTTCTAGGTGGGGGAGGGGAAAGGCTCTTCCAGGACTTCAGCCTTCCCTCCCTCTGCATTTCTCTGAGGTTTTTTCCCTTCTCTTTCTCATCACACTTAAAACCTTTTAATTTCATCCTTATTTGAAACTCTCTCCCTCCCCATCTTTATTTATTCAACCTCTTCTCTATGAAACTGATGGGTGGCTGAGTTCCCAGGCAACCATTCTTGCCTCCTGTTTGATTAGCTGCTGCTGGGTTGCCATGACGACAGGGCCAGGTCAGGAACAAGGGCAGACATTAGGGAGAGAGAGGGGTGTGGTTTCTGTGTTCCCTGAGAACTGGAGGAGTGAAGGGGAAAATCTTCTCTCTTTCAGGGAACCCTTCTAATATGAAGGACAGAATCAGAGGAAGAGAAGATCCAAGAAATGTTTTTCAAAGTGTATTAAAAAATGAAGAAAAAATTTCAAGACTTTGACAGAAGAAAAAAAGGAAACAGAACTAAAAATAGATTAAAAAGGAGGAAGATGCAGTAAAATTGGACATGAAAGGAAAATAGGGTGGATAAAGAGCTTATAAAAATTAGAGAACGGAAATAGGAAATGGTTTTAGCATTAAGATTAATTTTGGCATTAGGTGAAAGGATTCATAATTTATAATTTCTTTATAGGAAAAAACATGCAAGCTTTCCTTTTATGAAATGAAAATTCCTCCACATCCACTGCAGACAAAAATGTATGCAAGTTTCCAGTCCTCTTGGAGTATTGAGTCTCTATCAATCCCTTGACCAGCAACAATTTGAGGCCAGGTGCCCAGGATGAGGCCAGGATGAAGCCACTCTCCCAGTTGATGTCAGGGTAGTTAAACTCCCCCATTTATAATTCTCCAATTATTTGATGAGCTTACTATATACTTAGTTAACTGACTAGCAAAAAGATCATATATTTTCTCTGGTTGGTTGGTTGGCCTATAGTATACACCTATGGTAGTGCCACCCACCTTTTTTTATATTGACCCAAATGCATTCAAGTCACTTTTCATCATTCTTGTCTTTTATTTCTATAGACATTTAATTATTTCTTATATATAGTGCAACTCCACTTCCTCTTTTATTTGGTCTATTCCTTTTAAATAATTTAAATCCCTCTAGCTGTATATTCCATTTGTGGGTCTCATCCCACCAAGTTTCCTAATTGCAACAATATAATATCTGCATCATTTGTTCATGATTTGTTCTATCATTTGTTACTTATACATTAGACTATGCTGCCTTTTTAGAAATACAGACATATCAGTGTATCCCTTTGATGTGTGTGGGCTGTCTCAATATTATTTCAGGGAGTTCCACCAGGACATGCTAAAAAAAACACTGCAGAAAGAATTCAGTACTTGCTTTGGGTCCTACACTTGATTCTGAATTCTGAAAGAAGCATAAAGATGAAGTTGAGACCCTACTAATTAACTCTTAAGTTACCCACCAAGCTTAAAGCAGCCCAACGCCCAGGACGTGGTTTATATGAGTACTCTCTTCAAGAATTGCTTAAAGGAAATATTTGATAACC